TGTGTGTGTGTGTGTGTGTGTGTGTGTGTGTGTGTGTGTGTGTGTGTGTGTGTGTCTACGCCCACCGCTCTCTCAGGGTGTGTTCACTTCAATCCATGACTCTCGATTCAGACAGATTAGGGCCGTCGGGTTCCAGACTGCGACATGGATTAAGTACACGCTCTTGAGCTCACACACACACACACACACACACACACACACACTGTAGTGGTCTGTCAGGGTGTCGGTGTGGTCTGCAGCCTATCATTACGCCCTGCAGGCAGAGCCAGGCTAACCAAAGCACACTGGCACGACCAAGAGCAACTGGATTTACGTAAGAGCTCCGATCTGCTTCATTACAGCGTTTTGTGGGGAAACCCCTCTCCCAGCGGGGTCCCGGCTCTTGTAAGGCCTTTTCATTCGTACCGGCAGAAGCTTACTTTGAAGCAAAATATGCCAATTAGTTTGGCGGTTCATTACAAAACGAGAGAAGCCTTTATAAAAAGATGGCCGTCCTGCACGCTGACGTTTTATTAAGGATCCTGAGTTACTACGACACCAAGCCTGAGCTCAGTATCTGTAAAAATGAACTGTACCCATTTTTGTATTTGATAAGGTCAATCAGCTGTAAGAGGGTTTCATTAAAATCCATCCAGAAGTTTGAGATATTTTGCTAACAGACCGAAAGCGTTGAGTCCAACCGTTAAAAAAGCTTTCAAATTCTACCACACTAAACTTTAGTTCAATATCTAAGAAACAACGGACTTGAAGCCAGTTTTGCGTTTGCTAAATCCAGTTTTCTGTGGCGGCCATCTTGATTCTGTTTGGCTCCAAACTGTAATGACTTGTAGAATAAACCAACACAACCTTGTTACTGATGTTTGGTGAGTGCTCATTATCACTGTGATAAATGATTTATCACTGGTAATTAAAAAAACTGTGGTGGGCGTGGTTTTGCTAATCAGCTAACAGCAGAACTAATTATTATTTAGTGGATTAGCTGTTTCACTCACTTTGGAAACCATTAGCAGGAGAATTAGCTTCTGCTAAACTAGGTTTTGGTAAATGGTACTGAACTTATAGAGCGCTTTTCAAGTCCCTCCGGACCCCAAAGCGCTTTACACTAACAGACATTCACCCATTCACACTCACATTCACACACTGATGATGGCAAACTACACTGCAGCCACAGCTGCCCTGGGGCACACTGACAGAGGTGGGGCTGCCATGCATCGGCGCCACCGGACCCTCTGACCACCATCAGTAGGCAAGGTGGGTGAAGTGTCTTGCCCAAGGACACAACGACTGAGACGGCTGGACGGGGGATCGAACCAGTGACCTTCTGGTTCCAGGACGACTCCCCTAACCACTCCGCCACAGCCGCGCCCCGTTTTGCCAACTTTAAGTGCGCTAACAGCTAATTAACAAGCTAACAACAGGTTTGTGTCAGTCCCACCGGTCTTCAGCTGGAAGGAGACAAAGACGTGTGATGAAGACTGAAGGACTGTCGTTTTAGCTAGGGATGCATGCTTTATCTGCATTCATATCGGTATCGGACGATATTGGTCATTTTTTAGAATATCTGTATCGGCCCAATATGTAAAACTGGGCCGATATTAACGTCCAATATTGATTTCCCACTTTTTATCTTTGTGTTTGTGTTTTGGGAGGGAAGATGGTTGGTTGAGGTGCATCTGTTTGATCATGATAGTGATACTGATGCTGCACAACCAGGAATTACTGAAGTAGGGAGCCATGTCAGAGGTCTGGTTATTTACGGTGTCAAAAAACAAACAAACACCCAAGTGTGTTTGTGTGTATATGTATAATATAATTTGTGTGTTTGTGTAATATCGGTTGTCGGCCATAATAGCAATAATTATATCGGATATTGATATTGACTGAAATTTTCATATTGGTGCATCCCTAGTTTTAGCAGTTAGTGATTAGCTGTTAGCGTTAGCTTCAGCTAACTTTTATTATCCTCCGCAAATTTTATTCTTGTTTAGCGTTAGCTCCCCTGATATAGCATACATTTTTAGTTAGTGGATTATGAGTTAGTGACAGTAACTTTTTGGTTAGCTGTGCACACCACTGAAGAAACCCAATCACCCCACATAGATCTCATTAAGACCCTGCAAAGACCAGCCACGTCCAACTAGTTCAACATAATATTCAAGTGTTTGCTGTCAGATTCCCATTTGGCAAACTGCTGCTTTAAGACCAGATGGCACCTTGTTCTAACCTTAAATACC